ATGCCGATGCGCACACCCGGTGATCGGGGTTCCGATCGGACGTGTGAAGATCGAGTGAAGTTTTGATGATCCGATCTATGACGCGATCACGTCCCACGTCTCGATCGCAAGGAAAAAGAACTCTGCGATCCAGGGCTGTTCAGCGAGTTGTGCGAGTGGTGGAGATCGTGTAAACTGGTATGTATATATATATGTATGTATGTATATATATATATATGGACCCAGTTCATAATCCTGGAAGTCTTTCGTGCTCTTGAGAATAATGGTTAGTAACACGGCCGGAAGAGCAGGAAGCACCCCTAACTCGACCATGCCTTGGTGTCACACAGACGGGGTCCCGAAAGCAAGGCGGACATGACAGCACTAGCGGACGAAAGACGCGAAGGCACAGAGGCGCTGCACGTTGCGAGTGTCGAGCTGGAGAAGCTGCGGCTGCAAAGCAAGCATTGGCAGAAGTTAATGTTCCTTTTTCCTACTTGTGACTTGTGATGTACTGATGCAGGTTGTACATGCCTTGCATCATCTTGCATCCCCTGAAGGTGCGAGCTCGGTGCCACCACTGCGGACAACGCTCAGCTACGATCAGGCCTCCAGGAGGTGATGTATAGCTTGGAGCAAATTCAACGCCAGGTGTGAGCTCGTCTGGCTTCCGGCTTGCAGAGCAAATTCGTGCAATTGTGGCCATACAGGGCCATCGAACCTCGCCAAGAAAAACCGTCAACAAAATGCGCGGCAGGTCTGCGCACTGAAGCACCGACCATGGTTCCTCGGACATTTAACAGCAGTTTCAATCTGATCTGGAGGGGCTTGTATCCCATGAACTGCTACCTGCAGCCTGGTCTTGATAGTCTGATGGGCCCTGGCACAATGTCACATTTGAAGCTGCTACTGTCGTGCGAAGTGTTCCGGGCAGATAAAGGTCGGATTGGGGCTGCCTTCGAAGCAGCCTCTACTTATGACTCTATGGAACCTCGCCTGGCTTGTCCGAGTTGTGAGAGCGCAAATTATGACTCTAATTCGTTTTTCCGAGCGGAGAGCTTTCCACGGCCTTGCCTAGCAACACCGGATCCGCTTTTGCCTATTCCACCCTTGGCCAGGCCTCCCAAAGAGCCAGATCCTCGGCATCACCGTGCGGCTTCTCTTTGCCCTGGGCCACAAGTCCAGGTACTGCTTCAAGTGGATTTTGCAGACTCCGTGATGAAGTGAGCTGCGCTCCGCAGTCCAACCGACTCTGTCGGTGCTGAAGTTCTGCAGCTTTCTAGCTGACGGATCGTGCTTTAAAGCAGAAGAGCAGAGACATTCTTCGCGGCATGATCGATTCGAGTCCGNNAGAGAGAGAGAGAGAGAGCAGAGACATCCGGCCACCTACCAAAACAAGCATAAACGAGATGCCTCAATGCATCCACCCATCCTCAGGATGAAGGTGGAAGCTGTACAGATCAGAGAATTTTCGGGCACCTTGATGGCAGTGCTGTCAGGATTGTCGGGATCCCGTCCCTGCTGTCGGCAGTGTGCGACACTGAAGCTGTACCACACTCTTCTGTTGTGATGTTTGTGGATGTTCCTGGCAATCTTGCACACGTGTGTTTTGCTATTCAAAACACCTGCATCAAGCTTCGTGTGCCCCGCGAAAAGGACTTGTATGATTTGTTGCTCTAAAGCCTGCAACTCACGCGTGCCTCGGGAATGCTGCCGTCTCGCGAGCCGCAGCTGCCTCCATGTCGGCAGACCCCTACACTCCTGCACATGTCGGCTATGAGGATGCTGGAAGAGAAGCAGAGCCTACAGCAGCCAGAAGTGTCCTGAGTCCAGCCTGCGTCCATCATGTTGTTGTTTGGGACAAAGGTGTGATTTTGCCATTAATGGCCGCCGGCTCCATGCAAGCGCGGCGATCCACATGGCTCAACCCTCCAAGCGCCCCTCCTGCGCGCCGTGCCTGCCGCATTTTCCCGCCCTCCCAGCCTGCACGCCGGAGCCGGAGCTCCGTTGGTCCAGCGAGGGCGACTGCAGCATTGGCGACCGCCATCACAGCGAGTAGGCGACAGATCGGCCGCAGCCGCGGCCGATTGGCTGCTTCTGCGGAAGGGCCAATGGCCGGGGTGGGTGTCCCACCACCTGCTGAACGGCCCGCGTTGCCGAATACGCCTGGTTCAAAGAGGCTTCAGGTGCCCGACTTCAGCTCGTACACGGCCACGCTTGACCAGGCAGGCGGTTTGCAGTCGCTGTCACCGGGCGATGCTGGGGTTTTTAGCACAAACTTCAAGCTTTTGGATTGCAGCGACAGAGCTCCAGCATGACCTAGCAAGGTGAGAATGATGTAATGTAATATTTAGTATGATGTGTGTGTTATCGAAACCTTGCTCGCGCAACCGCAGCCATTTACAGACCCTAATTCTGGGTCGGTGCTGGCTCAGCTAGCTTAAATGCCAACATGTTTGACACACTTTTGCGCTGAATGGCGCCGTGCTCGCCGGGTACTGCAGGTTCAAAACCTGGACTTGGAGACAAAGCGCGAACTTTACGGTGTTCTGACATCTGACCTACTTGTCGGATGTGATGGACCGTTAGCAGAAAGACATGGTGTCGGATTCTGGCAAGCAGATTTCGACGAGGCTGCTGGTGTCCGGATATGGTTGATGCAGACAGGAACGGTTGTGGCAGGATCTACTGACGAGGTCGACACAAACGATGGAGACAACCAGCCTGACGAGAGTTTGAGCTCTGCCAGTCGCTCCATTAACTTGCGAAGCAAGTCAGGCGCCCTGGGTCTTTTGAAAGGTCTGGCTAGACCGTCTCCCAAGAAACTTGATGACCAGGCTTCAGTATTCTCCTGGAATCTGCAGCAAATTGGCGCAGCCAAGGGTGCAGCAGCCGGTGAGCACCATTTGCTTTTTCGCAATCCTGACCATCCCATGTCGCAGTTTCCGAACGAGGCGAACAAGGAGGAGTTTGTGGGGCTGATGAAGAAGAGCTTGATGGCCGAAAGCCTTTTCTCCGAAGGCGTCGGGCCACATCACAGAAACGAGGAACAGGCTATCGCAACCACACAAGATGCAGAGGACTTGTTTGAGGCCTTGTTGATCCATCAGCATCTGGTTCTCGAGAAGAAGATAGATGTTGTGCTTGTGTGTCACTTCGGATAAAGAAGGTTTTGCCAGCTTTTCGCCTCCACAGAATGCTGAGACCTAGGCAAATCTGCCGACTGACGTCCGGATCGGTGCTTCAACTCGGTCGTGTGATGGACGAGCTCGTGAAGAGATGGAGCATTCTGACAAAGTTTCGCCAGCTTATCGAGAGAGATACTGCAACAATAGGAACATTCATTCAAACGTATTTCCTTACCCCCAAAGTGAAATACATCGATTCCAACGAGATTTATCATTTTTTCCGCGGTGGCCCCGGCCTGCGTGACGTGACGGTGGAAGAGGCTTCCAAGCTGCATTATGGCACTGCACTGACAGAGCGCGAGGACAGCACCAGTTTGGCACGAAGCAGCACATAGGAAGCAGGACACACTACATCGGATACAGAGAGGTGGCTACCTGTGATGTTGATACTGTAAAGTCTTCCGGTGTGTAAGGTGCTTGCATCTCTCGACGAAGACGGAGACGGAAAGGTGGACCTGCAGGCCTCAGCAGTTTACCCACAAAAGTATCACAGGCATGTTCAAGATGGAAGGCCACAGCTCGAGTCTTGCCAGGAGTGTCAAAGACAGCTTTCTCTCGTTGCACCGCCCAGACCGAGCCTTTTGGAACTAGCCTCCTGGCTTGTCCTGCGCAGTTCTGGGTTGATCGAATGCACATTACAGCATCAACTAGCTGTGCACCTTAACGGTTGAAGGTGCTAAGACTTCTGGCGACCAAGGGCAGCCAGCTGGAGCTCAAGCACGGACTGGGCCGCAGCGCCATCAGCAGTGGACTCAAGGAGCCGGCCTCCTTGTTTGAGCACCTTTGCACCTTCCCTCCATTGGTCCTTACTAGCAGCTGCTGTGATGTGCGGCTCCGGTCCTCTGTGTACAATGCAGCAAGGTACGGTGGAGAAGGTTAGCCCTCCGCCAGAGGATGTGGCACGCCTCTACCGAGCCATCAATAGCAACCGGGGGAGCCGGGAGATCGGCAGCCTCACAGCAAGAGATAGAGTGGCAGATGGGACCGAACGCACCAATGTCCGAACTGCACCTCGCCACGTGTCTACTGTTACATCCATTCTTTTGTCCGATCCGAGGCACTGAGAGTCTATCGCAAATGCTGCGGCAGCCGCCACTGGACATCCAGTGGGGTGTGGAGGTGCATACCATCCCAGCTTTGTACGATGCGCTCGCATGCCGAATGTGCCTCGGCCAAATGGCTCGGAGGCTTCGACAGTGTGGACACGTCTTTCGTGGCTCAGCCCTCATGACATGCCTCCGGGATGCCACTACAATGCAGGTTGACCGTCGAGAGGAGCCGTCAGAAGGATGCTGCAGTGCTGCCTTCAGAGGCGAGACCAGCCAACAGAAGCACGCTGCCGACAGACGAGAGCTTCGACTGCAGTGTCTTTGAGAGTCGCTTTTTGACGAACTAGCTCGCCAGGCTTTTGTGCAAGGAGAAGTGCCGGAATTGCCGGAACTGGAGCGGCGCTTCGCTCACCTGTGGGACATGTACGGCAGCTCCCTTGTTGGCTTCTTGGTCTATCATGCAACTCTCTCTTAGGTCTCCCCCCTCTTTCCGTTGTGGTTCGCGCAAGACCCAGGGTGGTGCAATTCCCCTGCCACCCCGCAAGGCAGCGTCTCTGCACAGAGCGCGTCCAAGTTCCGGGAGCATTGCTTTGCAATGTACCAGTGCCTCGGATAAGACTTGCAGCGATAGCTTGCAAAGGTTTGGACACTAGGTTTCCTAACTGCACTAGCAACGTGCCGGGCAGATTCAGGGGCGTTGTTGTACTTGTAGTCCTTCCTCATGTCAAAAGTCCAATTCTGTAACATCACAGAGGGGGGTATCCTTCAGAGCTGCCACAGCCCGCCACCTCCTCCACTAGTCACCAGTTGGGACGGTTTTCATGACAGAACTCTCTTTGCGCCGGCGATGTTCAGGCACCATGCAGATCAGATAGCGGTATGGAGATCCAATCACAGTGGCGAACTCCGACGTGGCCAGATGGTGCCTTGTCGCTCAAGAGCTCCGAGTGCCAGGGGGACTTAGGTTCGGGATGCATTGGTGACGCGACTTTATGAGGTCGTGTGATTGCAAGCGTCTAGATTCTAGACTTGTTCTCCTTTGCAGACGTCAGATGTATAAGGTCAGTGTTCACAAGTCTTTATTCCCGAGCGTCGGGGACGTTGTTACCACGGCCTCTTGCCGCCTCGTGGCTGGGCAGACATGTGTCGTGCGATATCGCTTGCAAGGGCCATGCAGCTATTATGGCTCGGGCCATACAGTTCTCAAGGATGAGAGGGAGCCCGTGCCCTGGCCAGTCCCACGCAAAGTCTTGGGCGACACTCCTTTCATTGCTTTGGTGCCACCGGGACTAAGCTACTGTGCAGCTGGAGGGGGTGGCTTCTATTTGGGCCACCAGGCCTTCAACAACGTGGATCCTAACTTGCGCGCGGACTTGCCCAAGAGTTCGGATGGCCAGCCTCAGATGTTGGGTCATGTTGAGATGTCGATGCCTTCCTTCAGCCGTTCCCAGAGAGGCGGAAGTGGCAAGATGCCAAAAAGCCAAGTCTTTGAATTGCGGCTTTTCTGTTCTTCAAAGCAGCGAATCATTGGATGCATCGGCGAGCCGGTGAAAATGACGGTGTGGAATCAGATGCCGCCTCCACCTCTGGAGTCATTGCAGTTAAGATGCGAAGGCCGCAACGTGACGCTTCGCTGGAATGCTTTGGAACTCCTTGACTTACCGAAGGAAGCACAGGCTGATCACGTGAGAGTCTTGGTGAAGACTTCGACCTCCGAGGAGACCGTTGTCCTGAAGCCGGAGGTCACGGAGCATGAGCTGCAAGACTTGATACCAGACACCGAATACGAATTCCGTGTTCGGGCCGAGAATGTCGCCGGCAGCAGTCGGGATTGTGTGGCGCATTGCCGCATCAATGCTTACTGCCCTGCTCCTGCAGGCTTGACATGTGCATCCATCGGGACGGCCCAAGTGGAGCTCGAGTGGTCAAGGCCAGGCAAGATCGGCAACGAGGCAACCAAGGATGCCTTTCAGATCCACACAGAGCAAATTCAGAGATACATTGCCACGCTGCGTGTGGTGGATACAACCGGCGAGGATGGAAACGAGGAGGGCAGTGACGGGAGCAGCCCCGGGTCTGATAAGCCTCACCGGAGCAGGAAACGAGCACAAAAACACAACCTTAACCCGGACGCCGTGAAGGAAAGACCCTGCACCTCGGCCGAATCATGCCATCTCGGGACTTCCGAGCCAGACATGTGCAATGTCACAGCAACTCAGGCCAATGGCTTCCTGAAGCCTTGCGAGAGGACCGGCCGCGACCTTCAGGATGAGCGAAGAGTTCGCCTTCGCGCTTTCTCTGCAGGACCGGGGTCGCGGCATCATCCAAGCCACGTTGCTGGGTCTCCGGCCGGATACACGCTACATGCTGTTCGGGCTCTGTGCAGAGAACTCTGTGGCCTGGCTGCATCGGCACAGCAAGCTAGGAACTGCGGTCCTTTCCGGCTGCAGGGCATCGGGTGGCAGAATCGAGGATACTGTTCCGAACGTTAATTTGAACTGACTCGCTGTAGCGAGGGCTTCGCAAGACTTTCGAGTCGCCTGAGTTGCGTGACAAACAGGCAGAAGTCATTGTTCCGTAACTTTGCAGCCAATGTGGCCAAGGTTGGCTCTGGAGCGTCTGGCCCTCAGGCTGGAAGTTGCGCCCAGTCCTTTCCACCAGACGGGAGATTAGTCGGCCACAAGCCACACCACAGGTCCGACGTTCATGGGAGGGTTTTTGGTTCGGACTCTGACTGAGGCCAGGTGGCATGTTGTGAATCCAGGCATCTGAAGCTGATGGGCCAACCAGCTCTAAGGGCAGCTGGAGAGCCAACTGGTCATCGTTTATGCGTACATCACATGCGTAGTACCATAACGACAGCAAGAAGAAGAGCCCATCTACGTTAAAGGGAACCGTCAAAACAAAGGATGCTGTTCACATGACGCGGCAGCGAGCATCTGATTTTGTTGAAAGTATGATGACAAGAAGCATGAAAACGCTGGCTCGCGCTTGGGTCTTGAATGGGCCTAAGGTTTTCTGGACGGATATCACCCGAGTAGTTATTGGAATGCATGTATTGCGACTTCAGTGGCCCAGGTGTTCGCCGAATCTGGAATTCTGGACAATCCCTTTGGTGCCACGCGTGGAGAGATGTCGCGTGCGACAGGGCCAGGCGTCTTGGCCAACACTCCAAATCTCGAGACACTGCAGAAGCTCCGAACCATGTCGTTTCCCCAAAGCTCCTGCACGCCATGTTTGCCATCGTTGTTGTTTACATCAAGGTCTTGTTGGCGCTGTCTGAGACTGGTGGGGCGCGCTTCAGCTGCACGTTTGCGGCTCTTGGGAGGAGGCAAATCAAGACATCCGGCGAGAGGTTGCTCTTCGATGAGTTCCTTTTCCGAGGGTTAGCACTGTGGACAGGGGCAGTTTTCTTGACTAAGGTGCGTGCACGAGTATGCCGTGTCTGTTTTGAAGGAAGGCATGCCCGAGGACAACGCTGCAGCTTGGCTGAGCGTGGACTTGGCGGCCAGCGGAGACTTGGGAGTCCTTTCGGGCTTTGGCCTAGGTAAGCTGGACCATTCCTCAAGCTGCCTTGCAGCCAGAAGGCGAACCCGAAGAGGCGAGTTCCAATTCCTCAGCTCTCAGTTTGACATGGTTTTGATACCATAGCTTTCCAAGATTTTCCAAGCTCAGCAAGCCAGAACGATGTGCCACCTCGTTGGAATTTCACTGAAGCAGCAGCTACTGATGTGTGTGTGTGTGTGCGCGGGTGCGTGCGTGCGTGCTGTGGCTTTGTCTTGCCTTCGAAGTCCCTTGAAGTGTGGAAGACCCGAGTGGTACGTGAGCCAGGTTGATGAGGCGTCATGTTTTAGGAGGGTGTTCTTTGAGGGCTGTGTGCAGCCATGTACACTCGGGAGGAACGCTACTTCAAACCCCGAATAGGGGCCGAGCAGACGAAGGGACGGGAGCCAAGGGGTAGGGCCTCGGGCCAGGGCTTTTGCAAGAGATAGAGAGAGAGAGAGTAGCCCCCTCCAAAACGGTTGGGGGCGCGACAGCGCGCGGGCTAGGGGAGCTCCCCTAGTCCACAACCCTAACGAAAGAAAGAGTAGCCATTTTGGCTCAAGTGGTTGAAGGAGAGAGTGGCCTCACTGCCCTTTTCTCTCCCTTCTGTCCTGTCCCCACTCTTCGAGGCACTCTCTCCTCAACCCGGGCGCTCCCTCCTCCCTGTCTCGTCTTATGCATTGAAGCCATTGCTGCACGTGAAGGGGGACAAGTGTGCTCTCTACCTTCTCATCGCTCCTGAAACGAAGATCGTTGTGCATCGTTCCAGTTCGGTGACCGCGCTGCCTGAACCTTGGGGATTTTGCGCCCAACAACCAGAACGGCATCGGCGATCCTACTCCAGATCGCGT